ATTCTTCAAACAAAAGCTACAATTACATCTATATTAAAATTCTCAAAAAAATTAACATCATAAATGTCTTATAATATTATTCCACCTTAGTGGAGATCGTATAATGAAATTACTCTTACAGAGACGCTCATTTTATACAGCTGAATTCTCTTCTCATTTTTGCCCTCTTTCTTTTTTTTTCTCTCTCTTAAACCATTGCACGATTTTAGTTTAAAGCTCTATTTTAATACATCCGCGCGTTTCATCACATTTATTCCAGTATTACAATTACATAGTGGGGATTTGCGTTTCCTGTTTGCGAAAAATACAATCTGAGAGATTGAATTCTCCTGTTTTTCGCAGCACGCGCTCCTTGATCTCTGCCCAGACTCTCGGTTTACCGTCTCTCAGGAAAGCGGCGGCTTTCTAACGCTCCCGAAAGATTAGCGTGCGGTGCGAGTTAACCGGGCCTCCTCCCCCCTCCCTTCTCCTTCACGTAAACGTATATTTTTTTTATTATCTTCCTCCGTCGTTTCGGTGTCGTCGTCAAGGAGAGAGATGTGCGGCGCACCGTTTTCCTTTCACCCTCTCGCGGCTTTCGTTACACACGCAGAATCGACGTCTGCCTGCTCGCGTCTCTCGTGATTGCCTCCTGCCGTAAATTCGCTACTATCTCTCCCGACGTTTTTCGAACACGCCGTTCTCGTCCACGGCTCTTTGTCACCATCAGCGGCTTCCTCACGTTCCTTCTCTCGCGGGTTTCAGTGAAAGTGACAGGAAAATCGCTCTCGAGACGGTCGCCGCCGGGGCCGCAGCTCCCCGGAGAAACCGAACGAAGAGTGTTTTAGATCCTAATGCGCATCGCATCGAGACCGGAGGTATAAGTGCATCGAGAAAGCGTATCGATGGATGCGATCGATCACCCCGCTGTTCGTCACCTCGAATTTAAAAAGAATTCTTTACTGAATATATGCGATTTTCTTTCGAGATTTATTATACTTAAAAAAATATTTTTTTTATGTATTTATTTATATTGCACATCTTTTAATATGAATAATATAAAATATAATACATGACAGGGAGAGAATATGAATAAATTTATTATTTTTTATTTAACACTTAATACTCCATACGCTTTTAATCTTTATTCTTTCCATTTCTTGTCTCTCCTTTTTAAGATAATCTCTCTAATAAGTTCTGCATTTATTATCGTGGATAAAGATCCTTATACAATTATACAAATTCAACTTCTTCGTAATTAATAAAAATGTACATTAATGAATATATAATAAAAATAGTGATTTATGCCGTTTATTTGACATAAAATATATATCCTGGAGAGTATCGTAAACTTTACTACTGCACCGAGTTCATCTCGTCGACTATCCCGTCTCACTCCGTTTCTTCACGTCGCGTCGCATCCGGTTTTCTCCTGGTTCTCTCTCTTTCTCCGCGACCGCTTTAATTGCGTGTCTTCCTTCTTTCACTCAATTATCCTCCTCAAATCAACGCGGTTGGCCGTGTCGCAGAGACTTAAACAATGTTCCTCAAAACTAGGTGAGCCACTTTTACGCTACATCGCGATCGGATCGCGCTCAATCTTTCCGGCTATTCGCCCGCGTCAAATTATTCCGTCGCGAATAACGCCGAATGGAGTGTAGAATGAATAATTACGGAAATATGGTAAGACGAAGAGTTATTTTTTTTTGTAACGCGAATCTTCTCGACATTTCATTCGCGTAGATTATTTCGTCGCGAATAAAACTGCGGAATACAGAACAACGAGATAGATGAATAGCAGTGGGAATATATAGAGGAACCACTTTTATACGCGACACGATGAAAACGCAATGGATCTTTACGATCTATTCGCCTCTGCGAAATACTCTGTCGCGCGACGAATAAAGAGACGAAATACAAAGAGAAGACCGTAAAGCTTCCTGGCAAATGACAGAATTATCGTTATTGCTTTCGATTAAAAATTGATAAAAGTGAAATCTTTAAAATACCCATGTATGCGTAATTAAAAGGAACTTTTATAAAATATTTCTACTTTGCGATATTTAAACTTACAGGTAAAATCAATGTAAAAGGTTGCCTTGCTATAATAAAAACGTTTCCTTCGATTCTCGACTACGTTCATTTTGGTTTTATAAAAAAAATGAAAATTACGCAATTATTGAAAGATACGCCCTGTGTTAAATACATAATGTCAAATTGTACTCAAATTTAATGATTTTTAATTACTCCTGTAGACCGTCAACACTGCTCCTATCCAATTAATTTACATTTTGACACATGGAAGTTAAAAATGGCAAAATGTTATTTAACGAATTGGGTTGCTCCTTTCCCATGTCACGTTCTTAACTAACAGTTCAGCTGGAAGACGCCGCTTTAAGATGCAAGAAGTGTGACACCCGAATGTGACAACCAAACATGTTAAATGTCCCCATCTGCCAGTCTGAAAAATATCATCCTTTTATCAATTATCCACGGCATATCGATAAAAGTTAATATCGGAAACAGTGAGAATTCCGTTATTATCGGCTTAACGATAGATACTTTCAAATTTCCTCGCTGCCAGTTTGTGAACTTGCAGAGACAAATCGCGCAATTGCGACACGATGGATTAGATAAATCGGGAGAGGGAGAAAAAGGAGGTCGAGAAATGAACGCGAGACAATCGATTGTCGTCGTTCTTGCCCGTTATCAGAAATTATCAGCGCGTCTTCGCGCGGTCGGCACGCCAGGTAACCCAATTTCGCGATATCAATGTGCGCGCGTACCTGTTACGCGACTCGCCGCGTGTCCATGTGTGTGTGCCGTTACGCGACACGCGCATGGGCACGCATAGACTCGCTCTACGGACGTAAGGCAATCCGTGGCGTTTCGATTTCGCGAATAGATTTCAAATGAATCCAAGTTTCTCCGAGCGTTCAAGAACGTTGCAAAATTTCTTATTGCGCTCTTTAAAACGAGAAGTGCAATATGATGATTGCCGAAGATTTTGTCCAAATTTAAAATATTGATTAATTTCTTTCTTAGAATCAAGAAAAACTGAACTGAAAGCGGACGGGGGATTAATTTAACCAGGATTAATTGAGTTACGTTAGAGAGTTCCATTAGTCCCACGATAACAAACATTTCAAGTAGTTAAGTCGAGAGGAAATTTTAGCGATCCGATTGAAATTAAACGAAACGTTTCTATTATTAGGCTTTTCGGGAGTTTGACAGCAATGCGCGATCGATGTTCACCATTGTGATTTCTCGCAACACGGCCGCAATAATCGATCGTACAGGTGAAACAGCACGCCACGTAGATAGAGGTCGGCGAAGTAAGTGCGTCAGGTGCTCTCTCACGTACATTCACAATCGTGCCTTACCTGCAACCGTACGCAGGTGCACGTCCACATCTTTCGGAGGGCTTTCGAAGGATAGCCGGAGAAACGGCAGATGGTACGACCATGGATGTGCCAACCAATGAGATATAAAAGGGAAGACGAAGGGCGAAGAGAGATCAGAAAAGAAGCGAGTTTGGAAGACGAATTTGGTTAGGACGGGAAAAAGAAGTAGGACGTTTCTTCACGTTCCACTCGCGAACAATAAAATATAATATAAAGACAGATTAGAGAGTTAACATTTACAGTATCACGTTAAGTGAGCTGCGAGCTGAGAGAACTGAGAGATGAGAGTTGGAATCTTCAGGATTGCCACAAAATTATGAGGGAAATTGAAAATTATCGGGGAAATTCGGAGGAAAGTCAGAGAATTTTGCAAAATTTTTTTGAATAATTAAAATTCTTCGCTTTAATATATATATATATATATATATATATGTACGTTCGTGGTTTTGGAATACTATCATCTTAACAATTAAATGTAAGCAGTGTCAGCGACATTAATAATAATTATGACTATATCAAATTGCTTTCTCAATAAAATATTTGACGAGTTCCAAATCAGGACGAAAGTGCAAAAAATTTTTTAATCTTTTCCAAAATCAAGGAAAATTACGAACTTTTAAGACGAGATATATTTGCGATAACCCTGTGATTTTGGAAGCTAATAGCTGAGAGATTAAAAAATTAGTTGAGTGAGCTGACAGTTAAGAATTGAAACTCGGGACATTTTAAGTGTATACTAGAAACGATCGCGTTGAAACAGTCACAACAGATTTTCGTAATCTGCATGTAAGACTAGCGTAAGTAGCGGCATCACACACAGTAAGACATCTCGAGTCACAGGTGGTGAGGATAATAGGAGCGAGGTGTCGCGAAGATTTTCTAGGCGTTCTTTGAGCGTGGCGGACGAGCGAGCGAGCGAGCGAGCGAGCGGATGAAAGGCAGCGACGAGCCGGACGAGGAGAATGAGGGGTGAGAGAGAGAGAGAGAGAGAGAAGGCACGAGCTTAAAGTTTCCACGTTATCGGCGCACGTCTAAGCAACTGATAAAAGCCCGTGTTCCTACGGACAGATAACAGGCGGAATGGCCCGGTATAAAGAGTCATAGATAGAGGCAGATAAAGCACGGTCCACGGAACAGGTGAATGTCGCGACGTGGGCAGACCAACGCCCGAACCTCATCGTATTCGCGCGGGGCGCGTGCCAATCCGCGTGTCTTTTCCTCGCTCTCGATCGCTAACGACCAAGAAAATCGACCGTTATCGTCGGGCCTCCTTGGTCGCTCAATCGCTGTAGTAGATACGCGAAAGTGCATTCCTCGTTCTCTTCTTGTGTTCCCGCGACTCGCGCCGCGCCGCAACTTCCGGAAATAACGTCCTTCCCGTTGCGACTCGCGCAGCTCTTTTCCTTCCTGTGCTCCTTCCCCTTTCTTCTTCTCTTCGTCGCTTCCTTCATCCCCCGCACGTCGTACATCTCTTTTTCTCTCTATCTCTCTCCTCTCGCCTCCTTTCCGCCACCCGCGATTCGCCGCCCCCGCGGCGTGTAGTAACCCATCTACTTACCCTCTCTCTCTCTCTCTCTCTACCGTCCTCCGTCCGGTACATAAAACCTCTTGGAGATATCTTCTCTCCCGGCGGCCGTGGCGGAAAAAGAAACCCAATATTTCATGGAGACAGATCGTTATTGGGGCGTGCACTACAGGTACTGTCCCGCTCTTCGCGGATCGATCTTTCGTGGCAGGGGAAACGGTACAACGGGGATGACTATTGCGGCTTGGGAAAAAGCGAGGAAGGGAGGATTCTCGTCGTCTCTTAGAGTCGTCGCCGTCGCCGTCGTCGATGACTTTTCGATGAATCCGTCGACACGAAAGGAAAGCCACTCGGGAAAAGGAAAAAAAAAAAAGCACTCGATCGATCTTTTCTGTTTTTCTGTTACAGCGGCGGCATGGCCGGGCAGCACTACTGCCTGCGTTGGAACAACTACCAATCGAATATGACGTCGGTGATGCACCAGCTCCTGCAGACCGAGGCCTTCGTCGACGTCACCCTGGCGTGCAACGAGGCCTCGTTAAAGGCGCACAAGGTAGGCCGGTATACGCGACATGTACGGAGGGGCAGAGAGAGAGATCGATGACGCGACCGCTCGCGGAATCGAACGTTAAACCTCGACCCCAGAAAAACGAGAAATTACAACGTCTACGATATACAATATTATTCCCGATAATATTATTCTCGAACGATGAAAATTCAAGCAAACGTATTAAATTTTAGAAAAATAGATAATTGTATATAAATGCAAAATAACGAATTTAGAATTAACGGATGTTGGAAATATCGATAACTTTCCAAAATAGATTTCAAGTGACGCCTATGTTTGTCTTACTTGGCTCTGTCATGATTATTCAAAGTCATCGCGCAAAACGGGACACGTAGCGGATAATCACGCCCGCAGCTTGATCCGGCATCTATCTGCACAATTACTTGAAACATTTTTATACTACTTGAATGTTTATGTCATATTTATGTGTAGCAGCACTCAAGTGATATATATAGCGATTTTATTAAAATATCTAGGTAGATACACATCTAAAAATAATTTTATTCAACCATCAATTAATAATGTATGAAATTTTAGCATGATGAGCAATGCTGCACTTTGAGCGTCCTACATAATTATTTTAACGATACAACAAAATTATTCTCGTCTGTATCTAAATATATGTATACCCTATACCTTGTTTTATAGATAAACGCTTTCAGATTCTTAATTATCTCTCAATAGCTAATTGAAGTGTCGATATTTAACTTGGAAACAACGGAGAAAACTGTACGCTAAAACTAGTTGGTAATTTCGACACGTTCGAGAAGTAAAATGAAAAGATACACGAGCGCTTCTTTCGCATTACCCGGTAGATTCGCGTGTCGAGATTTAATCGGAAGCAGAGCGATTGTAATCGTGAGCGTCGACGTGTCTACATTTACTTACAACGATCTTGTTCTTTTCCATTTGTTCAGGTGGTGTTGTCGGCTTGCAGCTCCTATTTCCAGAAGCTCCTGCTATCGAATCCCTGCAAACACCCGACGATCATCATGCCGCAGGACGTCTGCTTCAACGACCTCAAGTTCATCATCGAGTTCGTCTACCGCGGCGAGATCGACGTTTCGCAAGCGGAGCTTCAGGTGAGCGCGCGAAGAATAAGGTCGATCTTTCGCCGCGCGTTCGTCGACCGACGACGCGACGCGACGCGACGCGACGCGACGCGACGTCACAAACGACGATTTCTCCTTCGACGTAGTCGGGCTCGACGTACGAATCCGAACTTCAACTTTTAACGACGAGAGCAGAAACGCGACAATGTTCCTCGAGGGTATCAAGGAGCGTCCCAATGACGCGAAGCATCGTAAAATAACCAATGAATTTCTCTTCTCCACTTCCAAGTCGCAAAACGACTCGCGGTTCGTCTTCATTTTAGAATAACGCTACTTCATCGATTAGCACGATGGTATTACATTCTCGACGTTCTCATACGGCAATTTTTAGGAATAAAGTGTCCGTTTAAGAATATACATATAATGCAGCAACATTTAAGGCTACTATCTACAATGTGCTTCCTGTTTTTATTACCTCTTATCTTTTGTCTTTTTATTTCTTATTATACCCCCTATTTCTTTGTTCTTGTCATCTGAGATAAAACTTGACAAACTTATTCGAAAGAGACAAGAAATACGTGACAGGAAACACATTTATCGATAACGTAGTCGCAAAGAGAGAAAAAGACAAGAGGCAAAAAGTAAGAAACAGTAGAACATACTGTACATTAGCAGGAACGCTACAAATTCCTCATTCTAAAGTTCCATAACTTTTTTCTAGTTTTTTTTCCCCGATTTTCAATAATATTTTGAAATTTGATGTAGTTACTTTATAATTGTTAACTTGGTAAGAAAATTTTGCAAAATTCCCTCACTTCCCTTATTTCTCTGATTTCCAGTTTTGTGGCAATCCTGATTAGCCTTTAGGAAAGCAATGTAACTTGTAATGACGATCGATACCGATGCGTTGCAATATCCACGCTCAAATCGAGTATCGCAATGTTGGTCACAGTTCGTAATCATCGAAATACCGGTCGTGACTTTCTCAAAATGCCTGCTTAGTCGTTTCTTCAGAGCCTCCGTGTGTGTATCGAAATGTCTCTGGATTTCGTACGTATCATGGTATTAAATAACAAGCGCGATCATTCTGTTTTATCTTATCGCGCTTACGCGTTATTACGACGCACGCTACGAATCATACAGTTATGTGTCTCACACCGCGAGATCTTTCGTCAAACTGATAGCGATTCCACGCAGACGGATGCGGGCCTTATCCGATTTCGAGAGCTCGACAAAGAAACGCTTCCCACGGAATCTGATAACATACGTTATCTTACGAATCGATCTTTTCAAATTACGAATATTTTTTTCTTTTTTTTAACGCTGCATTTTTTCTCTGCGTGACTTCACGTGACTTCTCCATGAAATTCGCGGAGATGAAACTCGCTCGGGTGCATCGACATGCTCGAAACGGCGAGAAAGTACACCAGCTTTTCCTTTTTTTTTCTTTCGTAAGTGCCTTCAATCCTAGTTCGAATTTTTGAGCGCATCTCTAGAATTTCTACAGTGCACAGCGGTAAGAGAGATACCGAGGATACTTTCTTACCAGAAACCATCTAGTTACAATGTAGTAATATCTAGCAAAGATCTGTGAATAGTTCCGAAAGAATTTATTCAAGCTCGGAGACATATTTTTAAGCAAATCTCAACTGGACAACTGGAAAAAATAAGAACTGAGAATTTCTCAAGTCTGCTTTTTCATCATCTGATTAACTTGTCGTTAGGCTTAACCTGATGTTTTATCCAATGAGCTTCATCTATGATGTCATGGATGAAGTCCATTGGGTGAAAAACATCAGGTTAAGCTTGATAGCACAAATTAACCAGACAATGGAAAATTGGGCTTCAGTGTATTATATTATAATACGATCCTTCGGAGATAAAAGAAACTCACAAATCATTACGTATCCAGATTCAGGACATAAAATGACACCTATAAGACGTCTAAAAAGTCTTAAAGTCATTTTTGCAAGAATTGTCTAAAAGACATCTTATAAGTCATTTTATGTTCTAATTTTGGATTCGTCCATTTCTATTTAGATTAACTTTAATCTCGGTTAACTTATTTATTTTCTATCTTTTTCTATTTTAGAGTTCTAGGAATTATGCTCATTTCTATTGTAATTTAATAATGTAATTAAACTTTAATCTCAGTTCAATTACACGGAAAGATTAGTTTCACTGACGTATCTAAAAATGTAGCTGGATACAGATCTGAAAATAATTTTGTTTCAACTATAAAAATAATTATGTAGGACACTCAAACTAGTTGCTAAAATGTTAAAATTTTTTGCAGCATTGTCATTAAAGCTTAAACATTTTACGTAATTATTTGAATAGTATAAAGAATTATACTTTTAGATCCACATTTAATTAAATGTTTAGATCCTTTACAAAACTGTTCTTTCTCTGTAATTACTCTTTCTTTTTTTTTAGTTTTAACAACTATAAAAAAAATGAAAAGCAAATTAAATGAGATTAAAGTTAATCTACATTAGTGGAAATGAATGTTGTGTATTTGTTTGTGTATACGTATATCCGCATATAAGTATAGATATATCGCATATATAGATATCGGATATACAGACACGAATTTTACCGACATGCAGTATCCTTACCGATCGAACAGAAATTTCACGATTTGCCACTGCGTCGTATCGTTACCGACCGCCGGAATATTTGGCCGTTCTCTCATCTAGAAGTTACCTTCCTCCGTGTTTTGCTTCCTCTTCGGTCAATCTTCCGAGATTTACTCGCGAATTCGAATCGAGAACGAAGCTCCTCGACGACGAACGAACGCTACTTTACCAACATCGCGCCATAGCTAGAATTACCAACCGTACTCATTTAAGAGTATATATACATGTACATACTCTTTTTCGAAAAGTCGTAAAACTTCTGCTACCATCCCCACCGAATGATCTTTTTTTTTTTTTAAGGTGTAACACATAGGTATACTCTTTTCTTGCAGTGATTCAGATATGGTAACCCTAGCCATGGCAGATTGGGGTCGGTAAAGAGACTCGAATCTGCCATGGCTTTCGGTCTTTTATCCAAGTGGTTCGATTTGTTGGCACTGCCGACGTCGTGCGCATCCCGTGCGCGTTCGAAATACCCGCTCGTACACGGCCGGCTTGCCGGCACGCGCGGGTCGCTTTTTCGCGGAGTCTCGCCGATATCACACGCGCCGTCCGGTTTTATCGTTGCGACGGCGACGTGCACGACTGAAAAACTTTTCTCGTGCCGGTGCCGCGTATGTGTTTGTGTGTATGTATGTATGTGTGTGTGTGTATGTGTGTGTGTGTGTGTGTGATACGTATGTGTGTGTTTCCACGTGCCTGTGAGTAGTCTCTTTGTGCGGCTGAGTGGGCTGAGTGGGCTGAGTGCTCCAGATTTTCTGCGCAAGGGGAACCCAGGTATATATCGCGGATAAGATAAAAAGCGCGCGGATTACCGGCCTAAGGATGTCTCGTCAGTGATAAGAGGTACGGCTCATAGCTGTGCTACCCTTCCTCTTCCATTTATTTTTTCTTCTTCATTTTGCTTTCATGGAGATTTCTGCGTGATTAATCGCGGTTAAAAAGGAAACGTAACGTAATTTCGATTATAGATTCTCGTTGTATATCTCAGCGTGATCGTGTTGACCGTGCGGTCATTTTGAGTAACGCGAGACTTGAACGCTCCGCGGCTTATCGTCGCATAAAAATACGAGCCATATATTCTTTTATCGTTGCGATGAAATAAAGAACATGGTGATAGTAGATAGTAGCAACAATTTATCGTAAATTACGGTATTAACTCTCTGTATTCAATTCTGCCTACATGAATTATTCTTGCGGACTAATTATGTTGAAAATCTTGATTAATTTAACACGTAAAACGTCATTTGGATTCGGAAACTTAAAAAAAAATTGTAATATGTATCTGTGATGCGTGCACGCATATTCTTGCATAGTTGTTTTGGTTTTTGCGCGGTAATTTATTTTGCATCTGACCTAATTAACAAATTATATTATTCTTAAATCATCGAAAATAATTCCCAACTTAATGCAATTTTATCACGTTATATAACTCCATTCAAGGCTGTCACTACATGAAATTTATTTTGTGAACTGAAAATTTTACGCATTGTCGAAGCTCGTTGCCACATAACTCAATCTGTAGAATTAACATATGTCTCCATGAAATGCAGGAAGTCTGTCGAACTTTCGACGATTTATCGCGTTTCATGAACGATAATTTATCGTTAAACGAATTTTGCGCACAGCCAGCAATATTTTATTTTATTTTAAATCAAACGATAAAAGAAAATAATACATGATACATTAATCGCGCACCGTAATTCCTCTTCAAATTATCAAAATATACTGATAGAAATAAGATATTTGGTATTTACGATTATAATTGCACGATTAAATAATATGGGTAGAAGCCATTTTTTATCATTGCTGTAGTGTCGGTATATAATATTTATTATTTTATGTACCAAAATTAATTATATCACTTAAAAATTGTTTTCTGGGACAATCATAGAGTATAGCGGTACAACAGGGCTTTTTCGTTCATTTCTCGCGATAATGTTTACGAACCACACATACGCTGATTATTTAGAAATTGTGCTTATACTCTTAAGTAGCACTCAATTGTAAACACGTTATTACTAAGAGATATTGTTTGTTATCGTAAATTTTCGTATTACTTAAAAATTGAAACTGAGGGAATAGCTCCGCTCTACCCTATATTTTTTATACACATAATTTGATAAATGTAACTATTATTACTAAATGTAATCATTTCATTACTGAATATAATAAATATAATTATTAACATTATAACAGTAACAAATATATAAAAATGGAGCGCATAATTATTTTAACATGCAATTATAATCGCAAATACACTTTTCTCTCAATGTACAATCTATTTCGATTACGTATGCATAATTCGTCCAATCTTTTCTCAATTCGTGTCTTCATTAGTCCACTCGTGAGCCTCTCAACTTGCTTCGACTCTCGCGTTTTTTTTTCCTT